ATGACGTGCACCGACGCTTTCGCATAAATTTCAGTCCATTCAGATATGGACCGCACCGACTACCACTCTGAATGGTCATATTCTCGGCGCAGGTAAATTAGCCTTCGTATCATTCGGGTCCGTTGGCTTGGACTCTCTCAATAGGTGAGGTACATTGACTTTCGCATTCAGCGGCAGCGTTCGTCGTTTATAACGAGATTAACGCATTTCTCTCTTCGATCCCTGCGAAATACCAGAAGTCCATTGTAGACATAGTACCACCTCTAAGACGATTCGCTGTAGAGACCAAACAGGCATCCTGTGCGTCAGGCCCGGTGGTGATGCTCAAACTTTCTCCTGTACCACCTTGCGTTTTCACTTTTCATTTAACATGCGCAACGAGCACCCTTTCCAAATATTAATCATCTATTTTGGAAACACAAATCTTGATTGATTTTATGCGTACTCCGACGGTAGGCTCTGTCAGAAGTGCATCTATAATCGACGAAGTCAATGAACTCATACTAAAGTTTTTAAACAATATTTTTTTAAATTTACGCTTATCACCTTGTGCTGATTTCTAATCAGCTACATGGTGTGTATTGTCGAATTGCAACTGTAAGATGCAGCATGACCGCATGTCTCGTCTCGTACGCTTTGACATGGACACAACAGAACGACTCTCCCGTGTCTACAGTTCGCAGGTAGTCGATTTGATAACCATTTCTCAGTTAGTTGCATAAAACCACAGTAGGGTGAAAACCTAGTTCAAGGGAAGTGCCAGTTAATCAGAGAAAATTTTCGCAACATGTGGGATTTGATTCAAAATTACTAAAGTGAAAGGTAAATGTAAACTACTGACCAGTTGCCCCCTCTTTACAACTTTAATAGCATTCCGCTCGTTCTCTACCAACAACGACAACAGTCAGACTTGCAATGGTTTACTTATTTCAGTGAGACGCATGAGAGTAGTTTCTATGCTGAGGACAACATGGGTGTTTCAGTACACTTTTTCAAAGCGGTTTCATTTATGAAACAGGACTCACTCAAAGTCAGTCAATCGCATTATTATCGCGGGTTTTCTTCTTCTGTTGGATCGTAGACCGCATGTTATTGTTACTTCGTCATTGTCACCTGAGACTTATAGAGCATACCTGTACATTTAGTCTCGATTTATTATGTCTGATCATTATAAGTGGCATTTCAGACTGATCTTAGGCAGCGTTCACTGTTGAGGAGATTCAAGACTCAGTAATCATCTGACGATTAAGAGTGGAACCGATTGCCTATAAGCTTTTCCGTAGGGCAGATGACAAGTTGTTGTTGTTACGGCTGTCACCACTACTGGTTTTGCCGGATCTCGTTACGCTCGAGATTGCTACTCTCTACCTCCATCGATCATTACAATGTCCTCCACTAAGTTGAGCCAAGCTCTCAGTCAGATAAAAAAGCTTTACTCTGCACACAGCGAAAGGCATCATACAATGGACCAGGCTTGGAGACTCATCAGCCATAATGGTCTGACTCACGAAGTCAATTCCAACCAATCAAGCATTACTTTAATGGTCTAGTTGTCGTCTGCTGACTTGGTAGGCAGGTCGACTGTTGTCACTGTCTGATCTTTTAATTTTTTGGACCCTTCAAACCGCTTATTCAAGTCTTGAATATTTCCATTCCACAGTCCCTGTTCATATTATTGTCAATCCAATGTTTGGATCACTAAAAGTCTTAGTACTAATCGTTCAAATTAGCTGACCGAATGATACGGTTTTATTCCGGTGAAGACAATGCCCGGTAGTCATATGGTGATATGTGGGCTCGGATGTTGCTTCGGGTTTCTTCAGAAATTTCTGGGCCGTCACTAGTCGCTTGCTCGTTCGTTCATGTTCCGCAGCTGAGCTGCGTCTAACTTGTAAGGTTATTGATGTTTGTCCGATACATCGAAATCTACAGCTTGAGCATTTAATATGGTAAATAACGCCGGCCGCATCTTCTGCAATAAAGCCCCTTTTAATTAGTTAATTCGATTTCTACCGTGACAAGCCTTTTCGAACCACTTAGTCTTGCGACCGTTTGTACCTGCACACCGTGGCACAAACAGGACTTCGACGCCAGCTGTAACGGTGTTCTGCTAGCTCTTAAATTGTTCACTTCGTTTCCGGTTTAACGCTCATTGGTGGTCCCAGTAAAAATTTTTGCCGTTATTTGGGGGACAGTACAGATTGGATGGAATTGCGGCATACATGAATTGTGGCTCTGGATTCATGGTCCATAAATCGCGGTCGCGAGACGATTCGTAGACACCAGTGGTCGAACGATTCTACTTCCCTTAGGTATTAGTCTCTTTGGGCCCAGCTCTCATATCTACATACGACAGCGGAGCGAATTCCTGTCTGCTGAACTCAGCACATCGGTTCATACCGATCTTCCTTCGTTTCCAGTTTACATATAACATGACTCAGGCCAGCAACCTGCTGGGGTATCGAGCATGAAACGAAGGAGACGAATATCGGGGCGTTTGTTCATCAGAAACGATCGATTGGCAGTTCCGAAGTGTTCCTCAACGAATAATATTTACTCTTCGGTGTTACATAATTTCATAATTTAAGGTTTACACTTTTTACTTGGCATGTACTCTCTTTTAGCGGTTACTTCACCTTTCCTATGTTCGTATTTCAGGTTCTTTGTCTGCTGCTACCGTCGACCATGGGCATGAGCATGAATTACGTGAACGCGACCAGCACCCAGAGGCCGACATTTGTCATCAACTTTGACATCGCGACCATAACGTGTCAAAGGTCGAAAAATCAATCGGATTTAATCATGCTGCCGATCTCGGCGTTGTGCGACGGCAAGAGAGACTGCTGGGAAAACGAGGCCGTCGACGACGAAAAGTTCCCCTATTGCAGTAAGAATTATTTGCGAGCATTCGTCATGGTTTAGAGAGTAATCGACCTACACTTAATGATAAAGATATTCATGAATGACAGCTTATGGTTTTTACGTTAAACCTACAACGACTCATTCACTGGTGTAGGTGCATATGCAAAAATTGAGTATTTCGTTCCTGCTTTGGTGATCATACTGAAAACAACATAAGATATGGTTTATTTATGCAAAACGAAAATAATATTGCCAGTCAGATGATTGAAGCC